CAAGATAAGAGTTCTCCCTTGCAACTCACAGCACCAATATCTGCATGATGCTTCCTGGAAAGATGATACTTACTGGATAATATGAGCTCTCATCTTGGTTTTCTCTATGGATGCTAATTTGAATGCACTTTTAAAATTCTGTTGTAGATTATATCTCCTTCCTGTAACATGTATTGAGGCACTCTCCAAAGAGGCCTCTTGACTTTCACTAGAGAACTGCAGTAACAACACAAATGACTTAGAAAAAGCATGGATATAAACTCACAGAGATAATATCAACACTAATTATCCAGTACATCTATTCAGGCTTACACCTCATGAGTGCATTGCTTGTATTTGCCTCAGTTCACTGTAAATCTCCCTTTCATTRCTGTTCACAGCTCATAAATGTAACTATTTTTATATATTCTAGAGACATACATATTTCCATTTTGGAAAAAAAAMMCCAAAACTAAACACACCAAATGTCTGATGAACAGTCCTCTTTTATCCTTAACATATTCAAGGGCCAATATTTTAGTGCTGTATTATGAAATAAAACCTTTKCTTGAACAGAAGTATGCTAGCATACTTTGATCATCACTCGTGTCTATTTTCAGCACATATTTGTCGACTGCTCTAGAGTGCATTAAAATAAACTAATCCTTTAGGAATGTGGTTTTGGTGCTCCAATTATGATAATTAAAAAGATAGTATTCATGCTGCTTAGATGATATGAAGTGTACTTAGATACATTTTGAGATTCTAAAGGCAATGACACATACCTGTTGTCCTCGTTAAGTACCTATAATTAAAGGGAAAATTGACGAGCAAATGCACAGAAAATTGGAAAATTATCCAAACTAAGATTAAAAAAATATTAACAACCTTTATAAGAAGGCATAGWGGTTCATCTAAGACACTTTGAATTATGGAAAAAGAGGAAATAAATAAACAGAACTCACATAAAGAGAACATCAGGAGTAAACTTGTATAATATTAAGATAAATTAGTTGTACCACATTTTTTAACTCTGCTCTTTGTGGCACATCTTACCTTGATACAGCTACTTATTTCTCCTTTGGAGATATTAACAGAATTGTTGGTCATTCAAGCTATCAATAGTTTAGTAATGAAAATGAAACGAAGCAACAGCAAATACAGGTGTGTTTCCACTAAAATACAGCAAATTTTGGTACATTTGTTGCATATGCAAGATTTGCTGGATTCTCCCAGATCTAGCCATTCTTTTATTCATCAAGTTTGTATTTTTATTAATTTTCACTTTTAGTGAAAAAAGATCTTTTCTTCCAAGTAAGCRAGTATTCAAATAGTCAAGTTAAAAACACTGACAGCTGCCTGTGTATGAAGATCACATGGACTTGCATGGATTTTCTACTGCTAATGTCAGTGATAATATTACAGAGAGAGAAGAATTTGTGATCCTTCCATCAGCAATGTCAGAGATCTCTGAAATCAAAAGCAGCTGCCTAAAGCTCACAAGTGATCAGCACTTCACATTCCCCTCCTTCAGCAGGGATCTGATGATCTCTCCTTTTCAAAATCCATGGGTCAAGGCACTGGTGTTGCTTTTTCTCTAAACTTTTTCAAGAAGCTTTCAGTGACTAATCAAGTTTGGAGTCAATGTGGTTTTGTTGATATCAGCACACAGTAAATTTCCATCTCCAAACTAATGGTCCTAATTTTTAGAATCAAATTTTGCAACCAAGGATTTTCTAGCTCATGTAGAAACTACTTTCCATAATCCAATCCTATTATGAATTTTTAAATTCTTATTTCTCAAATTCTTCTTAGCAAACTCACTTACAAAGAGCAAAAATAGATGGGCCTGAATAAAGCCCAATTTGCTCACTGAAGAGCAGAGGCACTCAAGCAGATGAAGAGAATATTTGGTCCATTCACCTGTTTACAGCAGTGATCAGCAGTAGATGTGAAAGCAGAGTGTCAGGCATTACCTGTAAGGAAATTTTTCTGCTCCTACATCTTCCTCCCTTCCAGCAGCCAGYAGCAGAGGGAACTGTCCTCCCAGACTGGGTTTATATGCCTCTGGTATTTTTTGTACAGAACAGGACACCCCTTTTTTTGGATTATCTGCATCACAGATCCTCACAACACACCTGTCCAACTATTTTTCCAACAAGTAACTGGTTCCTACTTCCTTTTCTTAGCTCTAATCAGTCATTAATTTATGAAAGGGCCTTCTTCCTTGTCCCATGATAACTTCCAGTTATTAGCATTGGGAAAGAACCATCAAAAGTGTTCTAAGGAAAAAAACATAGCATATCAAGCATGCTTACTTGCTCTCTGAATTTAAAAAACCTTTAGCAGATTAACAAAGCATGGTTTTTTTTCTAAAAGAAAAAGCAAAAAAAATCTCACATTCTAATGTTCACTCTCCACTATAATATCATATACTATTCATTCTCTATATTCAATCATGTTGTGCTCACAACAGATTCCTTCATMTAGAGGCTAAAATTACTTTTTATGCAGATCCCTCTGAACTGTTTTTTGAAAAAAAAAAAGGATTTGACACTTGCCACACTTATTCTTCCTGTGCTGAGACCACCATAAGTGATAGGCTATACATCAAAGCAGGTTGTTTGGAAATTTTTSTCTAAGTTCCTTTGAAATACCTGTGAGAGTATTATCTGGTCCTTAWATTTGTCACATAGGAGTGACAAATATAAGAAGTCATAAGAAGTTCATTGTATGAATCTTTTCTAAAGTGCCTTCTATTGACAATAAATTTTAAATACTTTCTGGGACTTACCCCTCATAAGAAAAATCCCAGGATTAGAATTTCCCAAACTGTTCCAATGCAAATAATTATTTTTATGCCTTAGAGACTCTCCTCTTTCAGCTCATTTGACAAAAATGTTTTACTATTAGATTATAGGCTCCTAGAAAGTTGGTCCTAAAATCTTTTTGCATCACAATTTTCCATTTAACTTGCTAGAATTCAAGCTTAATTCTTATTCTCAAATTACTCTGGTTTGTTGATCTTTTTTCTGTTGTTCAACTAGGCCTTTAAAAATGCCAMAGTTCTTGTGCCATCCCTCATAACTTTGTATGGATTGCTGCTGGAAACACAGCTGCAAAGCAGTCAGGTAGAAGATCTTTCCCACCAGCATTAATGGGAACTCAGTWGGGACATGACAAATGTTTATCAGCAGCTTCAGGCCTGAGAATGTTCCTCCCACATCTCACAGGTAGTAAAAAAACATTTGCCAGCAGTGGAAGACAGTTCTGTGCCTTTCTCTGAATCTTCCCTCCTGCTGCACATCATTTYTAGGGCATTTTGTACCTCTCTCTCAGGTAGGAGAGGGTTTTGGTCAGAAAGTCACCTGAAACCTTTTCCTCTTTGAAACATCCCTAAAAGGACTGAGACTGAGCAGCACTGTCCAAATTTCCAGGTCACTKGCCAGCAGAACGAGAAGCTCAGCARTTATGGTAGAAAAYACAAYWGCCTCCACACCCATAACTGRTSAGTTATCTTTGTCCTGACTCTTTCAGAGTGTGAAATTTTCAGTGGYTCCTGCCTCTCATTAGTTTTCTCTTTTGTGCCATGGCAGAGAGCTGAGCGCTGCTGGATCTTGGAGAGAGCYCAAAATTAAAGGAGGTGTAACAGCAATGGCTCTCATTTTGCTCTGAGCAGGTTTCCTCTCCCCTCTCACAAAATCTCTCCAGCAGCAGTGGTGGCTGGAGGAAGAGCAGCTGTAATTCTTCACAGAATTCTTCACAGATACCTCAGAGCTGTGACCACCTCAACCAATTGTTCCTTCAGATGATCCACAAAAATGTGACTGCTCATGGATGGCAGCCCTCTAATTAAGGCAGGGCTATCTAAATCTAGCACTAATTTTAATCAAAGGAACTGCCTAATTATTATACACACTTTACAAATGAGATCACTTAGACAYGAAAGAATTTAAGTGAGTGATTTCAAGGCAAAATTGTTCACAGAGATTGATAGAAGCAAACACTGGCAGACTCAGATTGCCAGTCCTCTGCTGTACCTTCTTCAGTGTGATACAATAACTTTGTGGCTTTCTGCCACCAAAAGAGATTCAGGAAAAAAGGGAGGAATCACTCAGCAGTTTCTGAGGTCTCTGGGGACCAAGACCACAGAAATGGTGGCAGTCACCTTCCAGACCCCAATGACATAGAAAAAGAAGGCTGAATTAACATGGAAAGCTATCAAGGCAAAAAGAAGTGCCAGGCTAAAGTTAACACTGTTGTACACAGAAAGACTGGTACAGAATATTAAAGCCCATTAGAAAATTTCTATTCAAAATCCCATTAAAGCAAACAGGGATGAACATCCAAACTCATAAGACATCTTTAAAAATCTCATCTCTTTTACCTATTTTTTTTCCACATCAGAATATATGCTATCTGAAAACAACCAGTAACTAAAATTGTACTGCATGTAGAAAGCAATTTCATCAAATAATACAGGTAAGAATTTTAATTTAGCTACAGATATCACTCATTGTCCTTGAAGGTATTGAACAAATCCACTGGATATATCTTCCACTGGATATACCTTATKTTTTCTGGTCTATATCACAGTCTTCTCTAGTCACATTTATTGCTACATATCTGTCAATACTAGAGGACAGAACTGCTATCACTGTGTATTTATGGAGATATGTGTCCACAGGTTTTTGCTACAGGAAACAGAAGATAGAAACATTAGGCTTTAATAAAAGTGATTTAAGCTATCATTTACAATGAACAGAGTACACACACACACACACGGTCACTGCAACTCATCTGACACGAGACAACTCTCTGAGCAACAGTAGTTCCAATTTGGGGGAGCTCTGTTTTTTTCCAGAACAATCCTCTCAATTAAGTCTCACAGCTGAATTACCAGGCCTGAACTTTCAATTTTCAGTCACAAACAACACAATAGGTGCAGCTATTATCTGAAGCTTGATACCTATGTGCCAAAACAGGCACTTTATAAGGAGGGTCAGAAGGCAGATACTCACTGATCTGGTTGGTAGATGCACTATAAAAAGCATTTACWGTAGTCGGGCTTGTAAACCACCTGTAGAAAGAAAAAAGGAAATTGTCATTACACTGACACTCATCTTYATGAATCAAAGGAGCAGAGATAAAAATTGAACTCAGTAGAAGGAATTAAAACATTAAAGACTTAAGATACATGAAAGTTTTTCTCCATTTCAGCMCATGCTACCTACACTTTCTAGAACATTGAAATCTACTGTTTAATGACTTTAACTGCATTGAATCAATGAATGCCCAACAGGAGTGATTCTTAGTGTCCTTATCACATACTCTGTGTTATTTCTAAGTGACCACTGTGAGGTCTGCCATGCTAATGAATCAAACTTCACCCAGCAGAGGCTGCAACACCAACAGCAGCTGTGAAAACTCTTGGGTGTTTTWCAAATGTGTGGAGGAACTCCCTGCTGAAATTAAAGGAGAGCATTTTGAAACAAGTAAAGTGGCTTTAGAGGCTTTACTGAACAACTACTTGAACAATTAGGATTATGCCAGTAATATGAGCAGGTACTTTCTGGGAATGTAAATTCAAAATAAACAGCTTCATGTTCTGTACCCGACACAGTGAACATGAACATCCTAAACAAATAGACCTCTTGCCAGACATTTATTCTCACAATTTCATTTCTCCTACGTATGACCTCTTGCCAGACATTTATTCTCATCATTTCATTTCTCCTCTGTACCAGACAAAACCCTAAATTTGAATAGGAGTTGGACTTCTTTGATTCTTGGGAGTCCCTTCCAAGTCAGGATATTCTGTGATTCTATGAATAGCAAATGAAATCTCCTTAGCCTAAACTCACCCTTATTGATAGTGGCTTCAACCATATGAGTGGAAAAACTCTGAATTCAGCAAGATTCAAATCCCCTCAGATGAAACCCTGAGTTCAGTGAGCCCAAGATTTCACATTATGATTTTATAAAGGAGAACTGAGATAAAAGTAATAAAGATTATGAGAATTAGTGGTTAATGCATAATAACTTAATAGTAACTCAACTAAATAACCAAACAGGAACATCCTGATGTCTTTAGCAAAGCATTACTCAAAAGTTTCATAAAGCCACATGAATGCAATGAAATTGCTTTGGAAAATTTCTTTCAAAGGGAAGAGATAGGAGCTGSAAAACGAAGAGCAAGACARAGGAAGATACATCARAACAYRGRAAATATGTGATATCAGTGACAATTKTATACAYAATTTGTGCTTTAAAATAGACCYGTTATTGAATTAGTCATCTGCAGATCCCACCTTTTTTTCTGATAGCTGATGTCTTCACTTAAACCATGTAACAAATGGGAGAGTTTTAAAATGGCAGCATTTTATCTTCTATCACTAAATTTAACTGCCTGTTTGTTCTCCAAGCTGAGCAGCTTATTTTGCAATGYATCAACTGGAAAAACTAATCAATGAAGGCTAAAAGAGTGATGTCATGTACATATTTTAACCATCCATTACATTAGAGGCTCTAATTGTCACACATAACTCTCCCTGTTTTGTTTATTAGGAGATTGTATAGGGGAGGAACAGAGGGAGGGTGTTTTCTGGTGTGTTTTCTGCTTTCTTCATAATAAGRAGATTAAATGCTAGAGGTAATGTAGTGAGATAATGGAAAATTGAAGAAAGAATGTGTATGGTGAAGGGATAAAGAAAAAAAATTAGGGGTTTAATTAACTACATTTCAATTTCATGTTTGTTCACAGCAGCAATCAGCTGAACTGTTTTGAAGGATGCAAGCCTGCCATTTATGCCTTGGGACCTGCTTTCCAGGCTTAGCAGTAAATCTGGAGAACTGCCTCTTTTTTGACAAGGAGAAAACCCATCTGAAAAGAAACCATCTGAAACAGTCAACAATTCAGTTCAGATTTTACTGYAAGTTTGAACTAAGACACACAGTGTTGTGACTTGCACCTCACCCTGTTGGCTTGTTCCACTTACAACAGCCTTTCTGTTCTCAAACAGCAACTTTTAAGCATGAAAAAGGYTTCCAGAACAGCAAATCCTCCCTTTTTGCAAATCCCTCTTAGCCTTTTATTTCCTGTCACAGGATCAAGGGCCTGAGACATGTAACAGATACTTCAAAATAGACTRATGGGCTTTGGTTCTTCTCTGCATCTTGCTGCACAGAGGAACCACCACAAACAGGAGCAAAAAGCTCTTCTGCACCTGTTTTTGGTGGGTGAGGAGCTGTGATGCTCCTTTTCCCCACAGAAACACCTCCCTCTGCCCAAGAGAAGGGAATACTGGTGACATTTGGGACACAGTTACTGAGGGGGGACATCACACCATCCTCTCATACCTCATGAACTCATGGACTTGCAGACACATCACAGCAACCCTGTCCTGAGGCTGCTTCTTTTCTCACAATTTACCACTGCAACAGCAGAGCCCATCCTTAAAATGAGCCAAAGACTGAGGGCAGCTCTGATTTTCTCACTRTAAAACTGAACTCAGCTCCTTCCAAATTGCTCTTTCATAACGAGGCCTCAAGAATGACCTGTATGAAACTCGTTATGCTTTTAAGCAGTTAGGAAGAAGAGATTTAGCAACCATACTGAGTCAGGAAGAATGATAATTCTCTAGTAACAAGCAGAGTATTTCATATCTGACAGCTGGCAAGGAGCATATTTCTATTCCAGCATTTTGCTGTACCATTCTGAGACACTCTCAAAAAGATTTAGGAAGTATTTTCCACAAAAGTGGAAATAACCAAGACTGCTACAGTTCAGACTAGCAGAACAACTTCACTTCTCATCTGCCATGCTCTTTCAGTGAGCTCCTTGAAATTACTGAACCTTCAGGGACAGTCCTTATTTAATAACATGCCAAATTACCATCAGAAGGTGTGTAAAAAATAGCTRTTGCTGTTAAATTTTAAGGTGAAGCAAAATTAGAAATAACTCTCCCATTCCTGCTTGAAGTCAGATTGCCTGGGCATTTGCTCTAGGTCTGGTTACAATTTCTGTGTGTTTTATCTATTAACAGAAGAATAGAAAAAAAAAAAAGAAAGGCATAACACATTCCAAACTCTTATTAATTACAAAGCAAATAAGTAAAAATTCTAGAACTGGTTACACTGTTTTCATTTGCTACAAGAATGTGAAAAAAGGGGTAGCTTTGAATGGTGTCCTGTAGCATTTCCCATCTGCTACTGCAGCAATCAAAACCTGATGCTGCAGAGTTGACACTTGTAAGGTTGAGAATTCCCTTGTAGAAATAAAATGTGAAACATACACTGAGATAGCAGGTGGGGCAGAAACTCTCTYAGTCTGTGTTTCTTGAGGCTACAATTTTCTCTGAGATACCTTTCTTTCTGAATTAAGTCTACAGTGTGCTTGCTACATTGCCAGTCATGAAGAGGGGTGGCTGGGAATATTTACAACACAGGAAAAGCTTATTAATTTAATTAATTCTCTGTAAAACACAAACTGAATTTGAAATTTGTTCTGTCAACTTTGTGGGTTAGAAGAAACCACTCGGTTTGCTGTTCAACGTCCAAAATAAGAAATAAGAGATAAATAATCATATAAATAAAGCAAACAAACTTGTGAATGTATGACACACTTAAGATGGTTATAAGTGAAAAGCTGTGCAAAGTTTCTGCAAGATGGAAAACATCTTCCAAATAAAATACCATAAAGAAAGACTTCTAAATRGGATGCAGCCTTTGGGGTGACATTCAAAATTGTATTTCCCCATGTTGAAACAGAAGATTATCCTAGGCCASGCTGTCATCTGTCTCCCTTAGGGATGGGCAAGAAACTGGGATGGTAAGGCAGTGTTACATCACTGCATAAAATGGGATTCAGAAACCAGGAAAAGGCTCCAGGAGGCTCCTTTCCAGCCCTTCCTCTCCAGGGCAGGTCCCAGCCACGCAATTTCTGAGCTCTCCAGCAGCTTGTATCCAACAGAGAACAGCCCAGTGTTTTTCATGGCTGCTTTTCCCTTTTTGCAGGAGCTTTTACACTGCCCTTAATGTCCCCAAGCCAGAACCTGTCAGAGCTGCCCTCCCGTGTGGCAAATAAAGAGCCAGGGCTTACACACAATRGTGTGTGGTCGAGAAAAACAGGGATAGGTCCTGGAAGAGACCCCGGAATCTTCTCMTAACATATCTCCTTTGTGTCCTCCCCAGCACTGAAAGTCTGGTGAAAAATGGAGAAAGATTTGGCCAGGTCTAGAAATCTTAGATTATACCCTGACTTTAAAGGAGAAACGTGAAGTCCTCTGATGATTTGTTATTGCAAATAAGACATCAGTGTTGAGAAGGACAGATTCCATCATTGCTAAAAAGGTGCAGGAATGTGTTTGTTGATACAAGCACACGTATATTTGTGTGTATGAATGTGTGTGACTCCATGGAGGGATAAGCAAATACAACTAAAACCCCAACTCTTTTTAATTTCTCCCTTCCACATGGCCATCACTTCGCCCTGTACTGCCTGTCACTTTTCTCTGCTCCAGCTGTATCTCACCYGGGTGTAAATAATTGTCTTCAAACCTGGTGCCCATCATCCCACAGTGCCCCTTCCAGCCTTTCCTTCTCCCTGGAGCCCTCTCAGCCTGACCTGTGCTGGTTTGTGCCCTGTATTCCTCAGCTCCTGCACAAATCCCTCTCATGTGTCTCTCTGCTGACACCTGAACAGATTTTTTCTCGTTTGATAGAGCAGCTGTGAAGGTGACAGTCCTCTCCCCAGGCAGCTGTGAGGATGTGAGGATGGCAGCTGGCATCCAGAGTTGGTGCTGAGGACAAGAAACACCTCCAGAGCTGTGGAGCCCTCAGGGGAGCCCACCCAGGACTGGCAGCACAGGTGACTCCAGAACTCTGGTGTTTTGTCACAGCTTTCTGGTGCCAGTWRGGCTGGGTGTGTCCCCCATCCATGCCCTGGGCAAAGCCTCATCTGATTTCCTCTATGCTCCCTTCTTGGAGGGACCAGAACAGAAAACAAAGAATTTTGATAATTACTCCTGCTTGTCGCAGAAGGGAAGACTCAGACCACTCAATATGAGTTATAAGAGAGCTTCAATTTATTGCAAACAATGTCTAAGTTTTATAACACACATAATTAGCTCATAAATATTCTGTAATACATATATCTCACAGGTCCACGTCCTAAACATCAACTCCACCTTTAATGATTCACTTGCCAATTTCCCTTATCTACTTCCACTTTTTCCCAGGGCTAACCAACACAAGTATCTTGTAGGGAGTTTCCAGCGGCTTAAAAACATGATGTCCTTGYATTGCTTTCTTATTGCTTCAGAAGAATTGTTCACACAATCTCAGCAATTATTCTAGCTGAGTGTGATGTTTGTATTTTTCCTTCTCGCTAAGGTGTAACATGTCTACGTGACCCTTCTCAGCTAGCCAGCCTTCCACACCTGCTTTAGCTTTTTTCCTATTTTCTTTTTTCTAAGATTAAAAAACTCCTGATTTTCCAAAAGAATTGTTTTTCCCTTTGATATCTACATCCCCCCTTGTTTTATCCAGCTCCTCTGTCTTTATCTCTCATCTCCTTTGTCCATCCCCAAATGGTCTTTCCCTGATGCTTTGATTGAACCATCATTTTAATTTCCCACTTAGCTGAGGAAAGTTATTCCACTTTGAAATAATATTGTTGAGAAACATGGACTGACTGCTAAAAGAATAATGTTTTACCTTTTGGGTATAATATTACTTTGCTAACTTTTGTTTTATTTCCTTAAACACTCATTTTCTTATTTATCTTTTTCAGTCCACAACTTTGATGATCTTGTAATATCTATCTCTAAAGATAAATGTTATGCTAAAAGCTACTAAACTAGGGAAAATAAGAAATGAAGCAAATAGAAACAAAACCCAAGGGTAATTAGCTATTAACATAGCACCAAGCTTCATCAAAAATTCTGCAGAGTTCTCTGAAATGTAAAAGTTTAAAAAACTAAACCAGAAAAATGAGAGATGAAAAAGAGAGGTAAAAGCATCAGAAAGCAGTGAAGTATGATTATTCAAAAGTGGCAAGTGGCTAAAAAGTGGTTGATATTTTTGAGGTCAGATTTGACATGCCTCCGACTAAGTGTGAGGTTATTGGTTTATTTTAATATTTTTTTTTAAATGACTTGAGGTAGCAATGATTCTTTGTACCTTGGTGTCCAGGCAGAGTGACACCACTTTCAGAGCCCTTTTCTATCACTGAACAGTTGCAGAGACAGAATAATGTCCCAGCAGGAACCCTGATTATTCCTCTCCAGCAGGGCTCAGGGGGAGAGGCCGCCCTCCAGCCCTGCAGAAGAAGAGCAAAGAGCTGTGCTGCTGCTGGCCAAACTGTGACAAAAAAAAAATAGATACAAAACACACAAAAAGTGGGTGAAAAAAACAGAGAGAAAGAAGAGGTTTATTGTGGGACAAGCCTCTTTTATCCACTTTAGCAACCAGAGTATACATTTGTGTCAAACATACATTGGTCAAGAGACAGCTGTTTAATTAGTAATCAGAACATAATTGGTGAGTTTGCAAAAGCTACAGTATTAGTAATGCTTATAATTTCCAGCCACCTGYRTTATCAATTCTACATTCCAATCTGCTTTTCTCAACAGTAGCCAAGGTTTTGTTATTCCTCCTCCATGCAGGCTGTTAACACTCCCTTTCTTTTCCCAGGACTCAGTCATACACAATAATTGGCTGAATTTCAGATTCAGGGCTTTTTTTCAGGCCTGAAAAAAAATTCAGGCCATTTTTTTTTCCCCCACACTGTGCAAAGAAATGGAATGGGTCAGAAATCAAACTGGCATCCMCCAGGCCACAATGTGCCCTGAGGAGGGACAAGAAAAGCACAACAAAGGTTTTGAGGGGCTGGGTGTTATGTAGTCCTAGAAATAAGATGGTAAAGGCTGCTATGAGAAAATGTCCACTCTTGCTGTGGGCAATAGGATAACACTTCCATTTTTTAAGCATACCCATGAGGCAGCTCTCAGACAAATTGATTTCCTTCCCGGGGAGTTTTCCCATTGTGCCAAAGATCTACAGGTTCTGCATCAGAGCTGCCCCAAGGCTGACCAGGAGCAGAGGCTGCTGATCACTGTGAGATTTCACTGCTCTCATGGAATGGAACCCTGAAGGGAACACACCATCACGGGCTAGTCCTGACACCCAGCAAAATCCCTAAAATCACCCCCTGGCATTAACCAGTGCAATGTCAGAGAAAGCAGGGAYGGGAAGGTGAAATTCACAATTAAAACTAAGCTACAAATAACCCCTTGAACGCACAGGGCCAAATTAGCACATTCTAACCATGCCCAGCCTGTGTCTGTCCTRCTGACATCYTCCCCCTGCCTYRGGACARCATGGAGCCACATGGAACAAGGTGKTGTTSACTTTGAGCAGGATTTTCTGGAGCTCTRAGGAAATACTGCCACAGGAGCTAAGCAGCAGCACAGATTTCAAAGTCTGTGTGTAGAAGAAGTCATTTTTAAGTAGCATGATTAGACTAATTAAGTTCTGCTTAGGTTTTAATTTGTGTTTTAGGGACTTGATTACCCACCACTAAGAAAAGAGAACGATTCTCTCATGTATTTTATGACAGTTTGTGACACAATCTGCRCTCCTATGTTTACAAATAAATAAAAATAACGTAAGTAGATTAAATTATGTTTCATTCTGTATCATTCTGCTCTCAACAGCAGGTAACTAACAATGCTGATTTGYATTCCTAATAATAACATTATCTCCTACTAATGGTTTTCATTCCTACAAAATTTATTTCAGAAATCCCTGCTGTACCATTTCAAACTCTAACTGCGACCAAGAGACATAATCCATTTTTAATTGCGATTCAATTACCCCTTTTTTTCATTAAATTAAGTTTAAGCTTCAAGCATGTGACTACTGTGCATATGAACAGTGATATCTAGAAGTTACAAAAAAAAAATCCACAGGAGTTTCTAAATAACAGCGGAGTTGCCCACAGCATTTTTGTGTCATAAAATTATGTGTGCATAATTCTATTAAAATTTCATATATAAAAATATTTATTATATAAATTAAATAACATAAACTAAAATATTGTTAGAAGATTATGTAAATTTGCCTTTTGTCTACTCACTCTGTTTTTGGAACTTCTTTTCTAAGCCAGTAGAAATCAGATTGGGCTGCGTATTTGCGAGTTTGCAATACATTGCCAAAATAATCACTTTCTGTAAACTTCAGCTGTATAGAGAAAGCACAGACATTTTTAAAGCATGTCCAAAAAAACAAAAGTTGACATAAAACAAGCAGAACCTCTATCTTACACAAGATAATCACCTAATTTTTTAGCGATTATCAAAGCAAGTAAAATTTTCACACTTGGTAGGAAGAATAAATATTTTACGAGCTTAGTTAAAAAAAAMAGTGGCTGAACAGAACTGCACAAGGGTCTGGGAAAGCTCTTCACAGTGCAGAGTGGTGCTGAAGGAATCATAAGCACCCMACAATGGATTGCAGACTGCACATTTCTGTGGCTATAATTAAGAGAGCCTSTTTTCCAGGAGGAAGTTGACTTAGTTTTATTTTTAAGAGTGCATTCTAAAACCACAACCAACWATGTAACAAAGTTCCCTCTTTTTCAGTTTGCTTTATGTTTTATAACAAATACTTCATAATCTGTGCCTTCCGAGGGTTCTGCCACATTAAATATTTACAGCCATAAGGCTCCACGCTGCCATAAGTTTCCAATTCTAGTAGCATTCACACATACAACTAGACAGGCAAGGAAAAGGGATATTAATAGGTTATAAATACCTGTCATCAGTTTAAAACAATTCTAGGATTTGTGAGGAAGTTGCACTCAGATGTAAACTATGGTTTTGAACCCATGATTAACAAGCATTTTCCACCAGACATTRCCACTTGTCTGAGCAAATAATTCCACACACTGAAGGATAAAGTTGGTCATAAGTGCTGTCTCMTTACAGCATCTTCACTGCACCATCTCACCCTGCACTCTCCATKGACCAGGACTAGGCTGGTGGAGCTGGTTCTCCAAAGTTTTCCCAATAAATAATGCCTCAGTTTAATACTTRTTCATGTGCAGTGGCAGAGATGACRATCGCTCCTGTATTTTACTGGTTCAGGATTGAACTTGTGTTTCTACTTTGTCTGAGACTTTCAGTAACACAATTCATCACATGCATGCCACAGTTGGGAAATGGTAATATATATTATTGTTAATTATTTGCCTAACAATAAAAAACAATGGAAGAAAAATGCTGAATGGAAAATAYGAAATGAGCCAAACTAACTCTCAGCAGAATGTTTTCTCACTTTTCCAGAAGGTTCAGCAGTCTTTCACAATATTTTAAATGCTGTGGTGAGGAGGGAGAATAAAAAACTGGGAAGGGAGCACAATTCATCTGCAAGTTTTTATGTAATCARYAATTTTTTTCCTGGTGGTCTTTGTTCCTGCCTTAGTTAGGCTGAGCAGATACTGGGGCAGGAAGGAGCTCCCCCACAATATCCTTGTCCATACAGCAGCACAACAGATCTATACATTGATTAGAACCTCTTGGAATGATTATGAGCAAAAATCATAAATAACATTTGTAGCCTGGAGAGATGAGGAGGGTTTATATAGGGCATCCTAAATTGTAATATTCTGAGRTAAAATGCATCAGTGTTTTTGAAGACGGTTATTTTGAGAAGAAATGTTTTTGGTTTGTTCCATTTTTATAACTAAATGTAAAAATTTTTACACTCTATGTTTAACCTTTAAAAGGCTTAATAACAGGAAGGTTCTTTGAACCTAGGCCCATTTCACTCCCAGCAGGCTTCATGATATCACTTAGATACAACAGCATTGACAATTTAGACACAATTTAGAGCTAGCACACTTACTTCAAAAATAAAATAAAAATAACCAGGCAAGCACAACTCCAGGTGCATGCCAAACAAAAGGCTCACTTTGATTTCAGACAGAGGCAAAACAGAGCAAAGAATGGCTGCAAAAAAAATGAAGAAAGCAGCAATTCTGACACTTACTGTTTTGATGTCTTCATTGATATATGTGTCATTCATTATAAACTGAGGGTAACCAACTTTCGCCATAACCGCTTTTGCCTTTGAAAAAGAAAAAGAGAAAAAAAAGTTTTGACAGATAAAACCACTTCTCAGCATACAGCTTTTTCTACAAGGTAAACTTGGTGCCACAAATGAACTCAGCAGCAGGACATGGAAGGTCCAGATTCTGTTGTCAGATTATCACAGTGGGTCTGTTGCTGCCTGCAGAGCTTTTGCGTACTTGCAGCAATGTGTCTGAGTGCAAAACCTTAACAGCTGATTTTCCCTACTGGGTTTTGTGTTAATCAGATGGTCAAATGCCTGTTTGTAGCATGTTTTCCAAAGGACAACAGGAAGCAGCCTGTTTTGCAATGGCACAGGAGCTGGTACTTATCCAACTTCTAAAACAGATTTGATGCACAGATGTGAATCGCCCTTGGTCCCAGCAAGTGCAGGCTGGTTGTGTTTCCACTGAGGGCCACTTCAATTTGCACCCGAGGATGCAAATTTTGTACTTTCCAAAAACCACAGGACTGATCTTTGCTTAGTTCTCCAGTTTCACCCCWTTACTTTGCAATCTTTGCCTTTTCCCTAATGTCAGTTAAGGTGTTAAAATAAGATACTTCMCTTTTCATTAATCCTCTTTTAGCCATGACTTTGTCCCACTGTTTATGCACAACCTGTGTAAACAGTCCAGTGTTAAGCAGCTCTCGATGAGTATTCCCACTTTGTAAAACATGTGTGTGGTTTGTAAATCATGTAACTTGTAATTTCCACTTTGTAAATCATGGTGTGAGCGTACAACCTTAGTGATGTCCTCAAAAAACACCAGCAGGCCACTCAGACACCCAGAACCTCCGTGGAAACGAGTTTCCAGAAGAAAAGCAAAAGTATACAAAAAGATAAGGTGATACAGCAAGAAGTAAAATCCGTAGGATAAATTACAATCATGATGGATTCACTTTTTATGTTTTCAAGGTGCTGGGTGCAATTTCTCTGTAAGTCTTTGTAATTTCTCTATAAGTCTTTGGAATTCCCTCCACCCCTCAAAAAGTGCTCCTTGGTGTTAATCAAATTCAGATGTCAAAACTCAAATGAATATTGCAAGACATGAAAAGCAATAAATAATTGGCCTTTAAACCAGCTGCAACGGTGCCAACCCTTCATTCTGCTCTCTGTGAGCAGAGCCTGGACCTCTCTGGGGTCCAACAACTTCTGTTTCCTTCCTGCTGCAGGGGGTGACTGCAGGAAGATTTCTCTTCTTCCACAGATCCTTTCCCCCTTCTCCCTCTTCACAGAATCTCAATACAGCAGAGCCTCCTATACAGCAAGGCTTAAAACCACAACTTTAAGAAGAAAGGTGATGGAAGACTGCCYCCATTTAACCAAAATCGTTCTGTCTCTTCTATTTTTCAAGAAGAAAGGCCTCTTTACTTCTTCAAACTCAGTCAATTTCTCAATCTCACTTTTAACCCAGTTATAGTCCTCCATTTGTGACATCACAATTAATTGTGGTTGAGATAATTAAGATGTCACAAACAGAAGATAACWACTTCAGGTAGGAAATTAGCAGCAGGAGCAGATGATCTCTTAAGCAAGAAAGATCCCATTGTCATGCAAATTGCCCTAGYAATAAAAAAAMAATGGAAGAAAAATGCTSAATGGAAAATATGAAATGAGCCAAATTAACTCTCAGCAGAATGTTTTTTCACTTTTCCAGAAGGTTCAGCAGTCTTTCACAATATTTTAAATGCTGTGGTGGGCAGGGAGAATAAAAAACTGGGAARGGAGCACAATTCATCTGCAAGTTTTTATGTAATCAGTGTGTCTAATTTTTTTCCTGGTGGTGTTYGTCAGGTTCAGCTGACTGAACTTCRYAAGGGATCMRAAAATTTCCTTTACCACTTCCCATGTCTCAATCCYAGTTAAAACTGTCTTTGAAAAATGAAAGAGCAAAACTCATCAGTTTTAATTTCTACTAAGCTTCTTAAACAAATCTGGTGAATCTCAAATGTTCTGCATGAATTGATCACTCACTTTGTGACTTTCACAATTGATATCGTGGTATTGAGATTTCTAAGATGAGAATAAAATAGCTGGACTCTATGAAGATGTTTTTATAAAGGCCATATAAAACCCTAGTAAATAATAGAGTTTGTCTTGAGATTTTTGAAAGCAAACTTAAAAAGTAATCCTGCTTCTAGTACTTTGATACCTCATCAATGTTTAAAGCTGCCTGTATTTTGTGAGATAGATAGATAGATAGATAGATAGATAGATAGATAGATAGATAGATAGATAGATGATAGATAGACAGATGATAGATAGACAGACAGACAGACAGATAGATAGATAGATAGATAGATAGATAGATAGATAGATAGATAGATAGATAAAGGAAAAATGTTGTTTTATTGCTTTTGTGACTTAAAAGTTCTTACTACAACATGTGGGGTTTAGAGACCTGAGCAAAGAAGACAAAGCTGATGCTGACAGTGAAGGATATTTGGCTCTTGGTTGGGGAAACCTTCCCAGAGCCAAAGCAAAACCCATGAGAGAACATAGGAAACRCTCTGAATTCCTTGGGAATCCCTCCAATTGGGATTCCTCCAGTTGGGGCTCTGCATCAGGTACAAAYCAGCACAGGGCCCAGTTTATTTACACAACTGACAAGTTAGAAAGTGTCATATGGAGAGCAGGTTTCTAAATTTGCATGTTCCAAGTCTTGTTTCTGTGCCTATTTTTCTGTTAGCTTGTGTAATATTTAACAGCAGTTTGGAGTCTCCTTATTCATACAGCACACGAAAGTGGAAAACCTTCTACAACTTGCTTGCTTTTTGATAATGATTCCAGTATTTTCCTGTTAATAAGATTGAACGTATGTATAAGAGACCAGCCTGCCAGGAGGCATTCACAGGGGAGTCAGAGAAATGTGACAAATGTACAGGAACCAGCAGCCATGTGGTGATTGCACRTGAATCCACCACAAATACACCAGGCACAACTTTTTGTGGTTTAAAGGCTCATTTAATTCTTTTCTCTAATTTGCAGATTAAACTGACATGTGCACAGGACAAAACGAGGTGATGGGGTTCTTCCCCGTGCCATCATTAAGCAGTCAGCCTGCGTTGGGCTGTCGGGTAAATTAAGAAAACTCAACACTGCAGGGCTCCCCTCCTGCCATCAGAAGGGAGAGGCTCTTGCAGGGGTGACACAGAGTGTAGAAGGATCCCAGTTAGGTGAATCTCTGTTAGACAGGTTTTTATGGGAACAAGGGCATGAATTGCTGTTACTGAGCAACCCAGACTACAAGATAGAGCAGAGTGAGATAGAAGAGGATGGGAAAGAGGAGGACGTGACTACAGCAGTGTAACAYGTACCTCGCRCTGACCATGAAGAARAAACATAGTAAGAAGCAAGAACAAAGAGCAATTGAAGAACAGTAGGATGATTGAAGAAAATGCAAAATGCTGAGAACGTTGATTTAATACTGCAAGGCATACAAAAACACGCTTTTGCAAATATACCAATCATATGCCGAAATGTAATAGACAGACTGCTAAATTAACCAATGAATAATTAATAATCATATAGAAAGGCATTGCTAATCATATAGAGAGGCTGGCTTTTGAAAGTAGATAAAAAGGAGCTTGTATTAGAAATAAACGGATCATGCTCATCATATTGGTGTCTGCGTGACCTTGTGTCCCCGTCGCCCAGAAACAGAGCAGCAGGGTACTTTAGAAAAAGTCACAATGACTCTTTTCTATCCCAGCAGCTACAGTGAGCAGGCTCTGAGGCAGCGGACCCAGAGTGGGACTATTCCTTCCACTTCTCCCTGTACATGGAAGTTTCCCCAATGACTTCAACACAGCCAGGATTTTACCATCAGTGTCCTTCTGTCACTGCAAGTCAGTTTACTACACAGACAAAGCCATCAACGAGCTTTTACTCTCAACTTCACAACATGCCAGCGTGGGAATGCACACGTGTTTCAGTGCTCCAAAGCATCCCAGTTTCCTATTCAAATTCTCACTTGACAACCAAGTGTGTGAGCATTCTGAGAGCCTTTTTGCCACTCYGGATATTTTATACAATACTAAGTACTGACATATTTTAGTTACTGTAAAGAGAGAACAAAACAAAATATRTATCTCACGATAAAGTTTTCTGAGTCTGACAGAGATCTTCTGAATATTAACTTGACTCAATAACTTTGTGGAGATCATTTGAAAGCTTCTAAAGATATAAAAAATTAATACAATTACAGTTCACTGAAAAATTAGCATGAAATACATTGTGAAAGCTAAAATCATTCATGGCAAAGTAATGTTCCATTTAATTACAAAGATTAATTCAGCCTTTATGTATGTGCCCGGCTTTTCATTTTTCATTGAGAACAGATGATTCAAGAGCCATCTGGTAAAACTGCTGCATAAATATCACTGTATCTATCCAGGGTTTACATATAGAAAAACTAGGAAAATAGAGTGATGGATCTTGGCAATACACAGAAAGGTTCCATCACAATCCTACAGATGTCAGTAGGAAGTGACTACTGACTTGAGTGAGGAATGKATTGGGCTCACCCTAACGATGCACAGTATTTCCTTTGTGGGAGAATGAAATGTCAGAGATTTTCACATTGTCARCTACAGTGGAAAGTGAAGTGGCAACTCAAACATGAACACTTGGCCTGAAATTATGATTTTTAACAGCACTTGATCTGCAGTGAAGTGTCTAATCCACAATATAGATTATATATATATATATTTTTTTAGACCTGGCTTAACTGTCCTCTTTTATTTTCATGTCACAGTAGAAGCTGTGTAGACTTTTCAAGAACTGGTGCTTCTTTTAGTCATAATTCACATACCACCACCTCACAYTGCACCATAACCTTCCCCTCTGTATTACAATAATTGTTTTGAATGTTCTAAAATAATTGATAAAATAATGAAGACAGAAAATACAGCTATCATYCCATCTTTGTAATAGCTTGAGGCCAAGGTTAAAAAAAA